GTATGTGTGTGTGTGTGTGTATGTATGAGTGTGTTTGTATGTATGTGTGTGTTTGTATGTACATATGTGTGAGTCTGTATGTATGTGTGTGTCTATATCTGATGAATGGACGAATAGCTAATTCCCAAGTCTACAGGGGACATGCGCAAGAATTTCATTAATTTGCGTGGGTAGATGATGACCTGCGGTCACATTATCTGGGAACACTAAGAGGGCAGCGTCTAGGACATAGATCTGGAGAACAAATGTAGCAGTAAAAAAAATAATAATTGGGCACCTATAGGCATTTGTGGGTGACTACGGTGACAATAAAATGTATAGGAGTCGGGAGGGAGGGGGGTTTAAAGAAAATCAGATGCAGCCATGACAGTGTCACTTTAATGGTTATTTTTACTAATACTAACATTCCTGCAGTTCACACAAACAATGATAAGGATATTTGAATTGCTCTACTGTGTGATAGCCTAAATTCCTGTGTGAAAAACACACACACACACAGTGGAATCCCATGATGTATGGCTCAACCTACAATGTTTTGTTAATAGAATAAATACAGTTCTCTACAAGTTATAAATTATTGCTATGAATACAATTTATTTAGTATGTTGCTGTTTCTTTTTGGGGTTTTTTGTGCATTTTGTTTTCACATTTTGGGAATGGCGGGGGTGGAGGTGTAAATACATATATATATATCTAATAGAATGTTAATGCCAAGTTTTTGCTTTGATCATCAGAGGAAGCCTTCACTGTACAGGACACTGAGTGCTAATTTATGCTAGGAGATTTTAATAATTAAAAGGATCCTGACAGTCCAGCCAGCCACCCCTGTAATGTGCATTCAAGAAACTCATGTGACAGTAAATGATTGGCATTATTTTTTCACAAGCAGTTTTAACAGCCTAACATTAAGAATTTTGGGGACTTGTATCAGGTGTTCAAAGAAGCAAAGTCACCAGAGAAAAATATGAAAGACAACCAAACAGGGTTTCCAAATCGAGACTGTCGTGCTGGATTCGGGACTGTTGGAAAGTACGTACTGAACTGGATTTACAAGTGTGACGTGGTGTATACATTAATGGAGCTTCCAGCACAAAAACCAAATAATCCTAGATGTCTAACGAATAGGGCAAAATGAGGCAAATGTCCCTGAAAAACTGTTGTGACTACCTCTGGTAATATGATACTCCTAAAATTTTATAAAAATAATAAATAAGTAAATAATGTGTACCATTAACATGTTAATCGTTAATCTTCTATGCCAAGTGATACGTATACAATAGACCAGGTAGACACAGTAAGGCGTAAAGAATGTCATCACCTTTGTCATATAATAAGGGAGAACTCTTTATTCAAGGATCATTTTGCAACACTAAAATAAGCAGAATGTGAGTGAATTCCTGTTCCAAATGAGTTAATATCAATGATATACGTATTTAGCATTGCGATGTCCTACTACTAGCGAGGGATTACACATATCTTTGTAGCTCGAAGGGTTAAAACAGTTTATGAACCCTGAAAAATGAATATGTAACATGTTGAGACAATTTGCAGTGCACAGGTTCCTCTCCATCTGACTGCTGCCTTCTCTCTGCTCACCTGTCTGACACTTTTTACTTTCCACTTCTCTCTCCTTATTGGGTTTCATACTTGTGGCTGGTCTGGACTTGCTTCTTTAGTATTAAGAGAGTGTGGATGAGGGAATCCCGCAGGGCGAGAAGAAGGAGGAGGAGGAGAGAGAGAGGCTGTGAGCCACGGTCTGAGGCTACTGTGGGAGTCACAGGATGCGATGGAGAGTGAATAGATTTGTCTGGGAATTGATAAAACTAAGAATTAGCAGACACTTTTCAATCAGGCCAAAATATACAAAAGCGGATCCCTTGTTATTTGTTTTTTTAAGCTCTTTGTTTGTTTCTCATTGGATGTGCATTCTATCCCATTAATATTTCAGACAAACAGAAATATTTATTGATACCGGGATTTGCTAAAGAATTCTGAGACTTTGTCTGCCAGATGGGTCATACGGTTCGATATTCTGGTACACAGAGGGTTAACTGGTTCAGGGAAGGACAACTAGAGGAGACATTTTAAAGGGTCCCTGTAACAAAACAAAAAAAATTGTATCTGCACATCTGTACAATACGCTTGCTGACAGAAAATGAGCCAAAGTGACATTTGAACCAAAATACAAAAAACGCCAAGTGGTGGGCATGGCTTATTTAAAAAATTCCAAAAGCAGACCCTGCACGAAGAAATTATAATTGTAAAAGTTGTATTGAATCATTTTACAGCAAGATAAATATTTATTTTTGTTTGTAGTTATTAAACCAGTTCAAACTTTTTTTTTTAAATAAATATTATTGATGAAGGGTGATAAATATTATTTTAAGACTTCTTTGGCTCCCCCGGGCTAAATGGAGGTCCTCCTGATGACTTGATGCAAGTATTTAGTCTTCGTGAGTGAGAGTTCCTATTTGTTGACATTAAAGGGACACTCTAAGTACCAAAACAACTTAAACGTAATGGTATTGGTGTGTAGATCATGGCAGAGTTGTCTCACTGCTCAATGTTCTGTCATCAGGTTCTTCATGCAGCTCTAACCACACACCTCCTTCCTGTGACTTACCCAGTCTCCCCTCACACTTCCGGTAAAGAGAGATGTAATTTTTAAATTTCCTTTATTGCACAGTCTGTTTAATTTAGAATTTCATATCTCCTGCTCAGCCTACTATAGTCTGCAGGAGGATCCTGTATGTGATACAAGTTCAATTAACAGGACAAGATATAATAACCTTTTCAATAAACACGCTGTGCTGAAATAACTGTCTGTACTGTGTGAGCTAGGGAATCCATCTGATGATGTCAGTACTGACATCAGCAGAGGAAATCCCTTGAAAGGTGGGATTATCATTGGGATTATAGATAGGATTATGGGTAGGATTAGGGGTAGGAAAAGGGGTTGGAATAGAGGAAAAGGTATACATGTGTGAGGTATCATTGTACTCCAGAACAGTAGTAGAATACAAATATGTGGTGTTCGCAGTAGTGGAACATGCGTGGTCTGTGAATGTTCCTAAAATAAAATATATGTTGAAAAAAAGCACAAAAAACAATGAATTTGACCTAAATTTGTGATAAAATGGTTAAATGAAAAGTGTCAAAATGCTGTTAATTACATAGCCTGCAGGGTGCACTTTCTTCAAATATATACTTTGTGTAGCAGTTTTGAATTCTGTGGCTGCTATTAAAGTTGTAATCTCAGCATGCCAAATTTTGCAAAGTTTTAGCTTTAAAGGCGTAATTAACTCCTTGCAGTATTTTTTTTTTATAACTTCTAAAAATAAATTAAAATTCTAGACATATTGGGTATTTTAACAATCAGGACTAATTAGTGAATCTTTTTGTACTTAATTTTCTTTGCTTGCACTTAGAAATTCTTGCACAGAGAACTGAGAAACAAATGTTTTTTAATGTTTTCCCATTTAAAAAATATTTTCTGTCAATTTAATATAGTATTATGTATAGATAGAGGGTATCAAAAGGAAGCCATATTTCTCCTTTAAAAAAAATATGTATAATATATATGGGTGCACTTAAACAAAAAGGGGGAACTATGGTAGAATGAATTCATAGCAAAAACACTAAAATGGCCTTGGTCACAAATGTGTTGCATCTCACAAAAAGCCTTGTTCCTTAAGGGGTTAAGGATGAAGGCAATTGTACAAGTTCTGACCAAAACAAAAAAGTTGGGATTTGAGCTATATATCTGGTCAACCAAAATGTACCTTTCATATTAAGTGCACCCCCACTTATTATATATCCCTTTGTTCAGGAGAAATACGTTTTATTTCACATTAAATATTTATATGTGAAACATAATCTAAAATGAATAAAGCTTTAAAAGGTTTGAGAAAATAATAAATGTTATTTTCCCAAGATTTGCATGACATTTTTTTTTGTCAATCTTTCTTTTATTGAGGTAGTAAAGGTACAATATAGAAGAGAAAGGAGTGTTAGAATGTAAGCACTTGACATGTTCGTATGCAATGGTACATCAACTCCAGTGTATAACAGCCTCATTTAAAAAAAAAAAAGTTAAACAGTAGCAATAACTCAATAGCAAGGTAGGTAAGCTCCACAAACTCAGGTACATTATCCCAGTAGTGAGTTGTCTAGGCAAGTATGACAACAGTGGATTTGTTAAGTTTGCGGACTAAACAGTTAGAAAAAAGAAAAATTAAATAAATGAAGATTAACGTTAAAGCTTTAACAGGTTTAAATGTAAAAGTATACCATGGAGGGTGGACTGACATATCTAGGTGCTGCCCAGAAGGCAGTGTGTCTCACTGGGGACATGAGCGATATAGATTGTCTCATCAGTTAACCCACGTGTTCTGTGGCATATTGCAATATGGTCAGTGGTTAATGGAAGAAAACGAGTATTGATGTGTCTCAGTGTGGGGAAGTTCGGGTAAATAAAAAGACTATAACAACATGTGGTGGTATCAGGTTGGTGGATGTGTCGGAAAGACAACAGCAGTTGGGGGAGTAACAAGGTTATGATATGTTAACTGTAACTGACCGTCAGCCAACTCACGTTTGTGAGTGAATGGTGCAAAAGTATGACCATGTTATGGGTGTGAGTTGGCCGCCGGCTGCCTGGGATGTGTCGCTTAGTAATAAACACCCTAGGGTGTGCAAGTAGGTTCGTGCTGTCTAGGCAGCCCCCATCCCTCCCACCAGCTTATAAAATAGCAGTATTAAGACTATTGTTCCCAACCATTACTGTGTACTGTTTGATTTGCTATGCCATCAAGGTGCTCAACCCACTCCACAGGGCGGGAAAGTAGTATGACTTCTAGAAGCCTGTCCATCGTGCCTCGGGTGGGGGGGGGGAGTCCAATGGTTCTATGCTGGATTGGAGACCCTCTCTGGTCTTCTGAGATGCCTTCTCTGGCCATGAGGTCGACTGACTCTCCCTGCTGCAGTCCGCCGCTGGTGGGTCATGGAGTCGTTGGGTCTAAAGACCACTTGTCTTCGGCCTGAGGCTTTAGCGGAGCTTGTAAAAATTGGCCATTGATCCCATCATCAGGATCGAGGGCCCAGGGTTCCACTGGTTCCCGATCTTCCCCCTCGGTGTATGGCTGGCTATAGAGGGATTCTTCCTGGTGAGTGCCCAGCTCAGATGAAGAGTGAGCGGTCCAGACAGCAGCGCTATCCACGTGGGCGGTGGGTCGTGCTGGATAACTAGAGCTTTGCACCCGGTGAGCCTCTGGACTTGAGTATTGTTTTATGGTATCCATAAAACATGCTGGTTTTCAGGGATCGTATATAGCTGCGTCTGAGCTGCACGGGATGCGATTCAGCTCCAGAACACTGCACAGATTCTGTCAAAGTTTGCATTGAATTTAGCTTCCCAGTCAGGCACTTGTGTTGTCTCTGCCATGATCACCATTTTGGCTTTGGCTCGGCGGGGAGGTTTGGCCGGGGAAGCCGGTAGCTTGCTTGTGTGGTGTGGCTGCTTCTCCCTCAAGGGGGACCAGGATAACCCCCACAGGTCCGGGGGGTGGGGGGTAACGGGTCGGCTGTAGCACTCTAGCGGTGGCTGGTTGGAAGATCGCTGTGTCTCCCCTCCATGTGGTCCGTCTGGTGAGTAGGCCGCAATGGTTAACTCTGGCTGTGGACAGATTGTAATAGTTTTGTTTTTTTGCCTAGGTGAGGTATATTTAAATAAAACTATTACAATCTGTGAGATTGGAAATCATTGTTTCGTGAATAAGTGAGTGCGCTGGATTGTGTATTTTGTATGTTGTATATATTGGCCCTAGCAGCACCCTATAATGTATGCATGTTCAGGTGAGTGCAGCCCTCTGGTTTTCTTTTATATATTTGGAAGTCCAGGCCGACTCCTTGGTTTTGCACCCCTTCCTGTCACAGGTACCTCATTCCAGGATCCTATTTAGCCTTGACTTTCAGAGAGTCCCAGGAGGAATTATTTCCCAAGTAAGTGGATTAATTTTATAAGAGCAAGCATTAGGCTGCTAGAGTAGGACCTGCCAAGAATGGTGTACAGTGAAGTTGTGGCAGGCTTATGCAATATATGATCATATAATGTAACTAAACCCCCCTTAAATTTTTGCCTAGGTGATGTGTTTTTAAATAAAACTATTACAATCTGTGAGATTTGAAATAATAGTTTAGTGAATAAGCGAGTGCACTGGATTTTGTATTTGGTTGTATTTACACCCTGTTCCAAATTATTATGTAAATTATATTTAAGGGTCACAAAGATTAAATATTTTGTTTTTCAGTTTAACTCATGGATGGCATTGTGTCTCAGGGCTCTTTTGATCACTGAAAACAATCTCGGACACCTGTGATAACTAGATTGCCAGGTGAGCCCAATTTAGGGAAAAACTACTAAAGGAGGGTGTTCCACATTATTAAGCAGAGCACCATTTTCATGCAATGTGGGAAAGAAAAAGGATCTCTCTGCTGCCGAACATAGTGAAATGGTTCAATACCTTGGACGAGGTATGAAAACATTAGATATTTCACGAAAACTTAAGCGTGATCATCGCACTATTAAGAGATTTGTGGCTGATTCAGAGCACAGACGGGTTCGTGCAGATAAAGGCTCATTGAGGAATATTTCTGCCAGATCCATGCATCGGATCAAGAGAGCAGCTGCTAAAATACCATTACATAGCAGTAAACAGATATTTGAAGCTGCTGGTGCTTCTGGAGTCCCACGGACATCAAGGTGTAGAGTCCTCCAGAGTCTTGCAACTGTGCATAAACCTTCTATTCGGCCACCACTAACCAATGCTCTCAAGCAGAAATGGCTGCATTGGGCAGAAAAATACATGAAAACTAATTTTCAAAAAATCCTGTTCACTGATGAGTGCCTTGCAACCCTGGATGGTCCAGATGGATGGAGTAGTGGATGGTTGGTGGACGTCCACCCTGTTCCAACAAGGCTGTGACGTCAGCAAGGCGGTGGTGGAGTCATGTTTTTGGCCGGAATCATGGGAAGAGAGCTGGTCGGCCCCTTAAGGGTCCCCAAAGGTGTAAAGATGACCTCTCCAAAGTATGTGAAGTTTCTGACTGACCACTTTCTTCCCTGGTACAGAAGGAAGAACTATGCTTTCCGTAATAAAATCACCTTCATGCATGACAATGCACCATCTCATGCTGCAAAGAATACCTCTGCATCAATGGCTGCTATGGGGATAAAAGGAGAGAAAGTCATGGTGTGGCCTCCATCCTCCCCTGACCTCAAGCCTATTGAGAACCTTTGAAGCATCCTCAAGCAAAATATCTATGAGGGTGGGAGGCAGGTAACATCCAAACAGCAGCTCTGGGAGGCTATTCTGACATCGTGCAAACAAATTCAAGCAGAAACTGTCCAAAAACTCACAAGTTCAATGGATGCAAGACTTGTGAAGCTGCTATCAAATAAGGGGTCCTATGTTAAAATGTAACGTGACCTGTTAAAATATTTAAAAAGTTAAAATGTTGTTATAAGTTTGATTGAAATAGCTTTTGATTTCAGTAAATATGCTGCAAACACAACAAATGACAATTTTCAGTTCTTTACAACCTATAAAGTGTTTTGAAACTTACTGTGTGTAATAATTTGGAACAGTGCATTGTAAGTTTTTTATGTTTAAAAAAAATACTGTTATCATTAGGAGGTTTGTTCAACAAAATTTGAATTGTACTCTTAATAGTTGATAACATGAGAATTATGCTGACTGTTATTTACATCAATTATTTAGGTAAATGAGAAAAATATAATTTGCATAATAATTTGGAACAGGGTGTATATATATATGTATAGAGGAAAAACCAAAAAGGTTATAGTGCGGAAAAAATTGTGATTGTAAAACCCCTTGCACCTGAAGTTTGTGGATAGTTAATACAATGTTAAACAAATATCTGCACATCAGTCAAGCCATAAGACTTGCTTTTCCCACAGAAATCACAAATCTGCAGTAATGTTGCTGTCGCAATGGATTCTGGTAGGCATATGCAAATTAGATTAACAAAGAATCAAATTTTTGCCTCATTCCATTTTAAACATGGATTCCTTGCAGTCTGTGTTTGCTGTATACAACAGCTTTGAAACACAATTTAGGAAAAGATGCAAAGCCAGTAAAACACTCATGGACAGCATTTTCATTGTTAATGCAAATCATCAGCATGAGGTTGGTTACTGTTTGCTTATTGAGGCTTGGTGGTGCTTGGGAAACAAAAATCAAAAGGCTATGGTGGGGAAAAAAATTGGATTAAAAAACCCCTTCCACCTGCAGATTTCTGATTTATGTGGGAAAAGCAAGTCTTATGGCTAGACTGGTGTGCAGATTTTTGTTTAGCATTGTATTAACTATCCACAGACTTCAAGTGGAAGGGGTTTTCAATCACAATTTTTCCCCACCATAACTTTTTGGGATTTTGCTACCTAAGCACTACCAAGCCTCAATAAGCAAACAGTAACCAACCTCATGCTGATGATTTGCATTAACAATGAAACAGCTGTCCGTGAGTGGTTCACTGGCTCTGCATCGTTTCCTAAGTTGTGTTTCAAAGCTGTTGTATACAGCCAACACAGACTCAAAGGAATCCATGTTTAAAATGGAATGAGGCAAAAATGTGATTCTTTGTTAAACAAATCTTGACAATGTACGGCAGTAATTGCCACTGCCGCCAAGCTATGCCCACTAAAAGTACCCACACCCACTGCCGCAAAGCTCCGCCCACAACAAGCTCCGTCCAACCCACATAATTACTTATCATAGTGCAGATTACAGGGTCTACTCAATAAAGAGAGAATTACAGGGAATTGAGATGGTAATTTTAAACGTAAGGCCAAAGTAGCCAAGTTGGAAACATTGTCCCACTCAGCTGCACTATTTCGGCCTAAAGTTTGAAATTCCCATCTCAATTCCCTGCAGTTCTTTCTTTACGGATACAGTATACAGGTATACAGTAAGCATACAGGTTCACTGATACACAGGCTCAAAGACAGACAAGCTCACGGACACAAAACACAAACTCACTGATGCACACAAATAGGCTGACTGACAGACAAAACTCTCACACACTAGCTTACTACAAACAAACTAATTTGTATAGACACACAAGGCTCACTACAGACAAGCTCAGTGACCCACACAAGCTTACTACAGACAAGCTCACTGACACACACAAGATGACTAAATAGAAGCATACTGACACACACAAGCTCACTAAATGCAAGCTAAGTGACACACACAAGCTCACTACAGACACACTTACTGGCACACACAAGCAGTGCCATCTTAAGAGTGTTATGGGTACCTGGGTAAAGCAGTGCCTTCCTACACAAGAACTCACAGGAATAAAAATTTAAATGATCAGTAAGCTTATATTTATTGGTACCTCTAACAAATGCAATACATACATACAACACATACACACAGACTGCTGAATACAGTCACAGACTGCTGAACACATTAACACACAGACTGCTGAATACACGCACACACGACTGCTGAATACACGCACATTGACTGCTGAATACACACACACACACAGACTGCTAAGTACATACACACAGTACACTGAATACACATACAAAAAACACACACACAGACTGCTGAATACACAAAAGAGACTGCTGAATACACACACACAGACTGCTGAGTACACACAGACAGACAGCTGAGTACACGCAGACACTGTTGAGTACTTACACACAGTACACTGAATACACACACAACACACACAGACTGCTGAATACACACACATACAGACTGCTGAGAACATACACACAGTACACTGAATACACATACAAAAAACACACACACAGACTGCTGAATACACAAAAGAGACTGCTGAATACACAGAGAGACTGCTGAATACACACACACAGACTGCTGAGTACACAGACACTGTTGAGTACATACACACAGTACACTGAATACACACACAACACACACACAGACTGCTGAGTACATACACACACTGACTGCTGAATACACACAGAATGCTGAATACATACACATACTTCTGAATGCACACAGGCTGTTGAATACACACACACAGACTGCTGAGTACACACAGACACTGTTGAGTACATACACACAGTACACTGAATACACACACAACACACACACAGACTGCTGAATACACACACACACATACAGACTGCTGAGTACATACACACAGTACACTGAATACACATACAAAAAACACACACACACATACTGCTGAATACACAAAAGAGACTGCTGAATACACAGAGAGACTGCTGAATACA